TTAGTCCTGGTTCAGTCCTGGTTTCAGTCTGGGTTTCAGTCTGGTTTAGTCCCTGGTTCAGTCCTGGTTTATTTTAGTCCTGGTTTCAGTCCTGGTTTAGTCCTGGTTTAGTCCTGGTTCAGTCCTGGTTTAGTCCTGGTTTATAGTCCTGGTTCAGTCCTGGTTTAGTCTGGTTTAGTCCTGGTTTAGTCCTGGTTTAGTCCCTGGTTTAGTCCTGGTTTAGTCCTGGTTTAGTCCTGGTTTGGATTAGTCCTGTTTAGTTTTAGTCCTAGTTTAGTCCTGGTTCAGTCCTGGTTTAGTCCTGGATTAGTCCTGGATTAGTCCTGGTTTAGTCCTGGTTTAGTCCTGGTTTAGTCCTGGTTTAGTCCTGGTAGTCCTGGTTTAGTCTGTTTAGTCCTGGTTTAGTCCTGGTTTAGTCCTGGTTTAGTCCTGGTTTAGTCCTGTTTAGATTAGTCCTGGTTAGTCCTGGTTTAGTAGTCCTGGTTTAGTCCTGGTTTAGTCCTGGTTAGTAGTCCTGGTTTAGTCCTGGTTTAGTCCTGGTTTAGTCCTGGTTTAGTCCTGGGTTTAGTCCTGGTTTAGTCCTGGATTAGTCCTGGTTTAGTCCTGGTTTAGTAGTCCTGGATTAGTCCTGGATTAGTCCTGGTTTAGTCCTGGTTTAGTCCTGGTTTAGTCCTGTGGTTAGTCCTGGTTAGTCCTGGTTAGTCCTGGTTAGTCCTGGTTTAGTCCTGGTTTAGTCCTGGTTATTAGTCCTGGTTTAGTCCTGGTTTCAGTCCTGGTTTAGTCCCTGGGTCCTGGTTTAGTCCTGGTTAGTCCTGGTTTAGTCCTGGTTTAGTCCTGGTTTAGTCCTGGTTTAGTCCTGGTTTAGTCCTGGTTAGTCCTGGTTTAGTCCTGGTTTAGTCCTGGTTAGTCCTGGTTTAGTCCTGGTTCAGTCCTGGTTTAAGTCCTGGTTTAGTCCTGGTTTTCAGTCCTGGTTTAGTCCTGGTTTAGTCCTGGTTTAGTCCTGGATTAGTCCTGGTTTAGTCCTAGTCTGGTTTAGTCCTGGTTAGTTTAGTCCTGGATTAGTCCTGGATTAGTCCAGTCCTGGTTTAGTCCTGGTTAGTCCTGGTCCTAGTCCTGTTAGTCCTAGTCCTGTTTAGTTTAGTCCTGGATTAGTCCTGGTTCAGTCCTGGTTTAGTCCTGGTCCTTTAGTCCTGGTTAGTCCTGGTTTAGTCCTGGTTTCTGGTTTAGTCCTGGTTTAGTCCTGGTTTAGTCCTGGTTTAGTCCAGTCCTGGTTTAAGTCCTGGTTTAGTCCTGGTTAGTCCTGGTTAGTCCTGGTTTAGTCCTGGTTAGTCCTGGTTTAGTCCTGGTTTAGTCCTGGTTTAGTCCTGGTTCAGTCCTGGTTTAGTCCTGGATTAGTCCTGGTTTATCCTGGTTCAGTCCTGGTTTAGTCCTGGGTTTAGTCCTGGTTCAGTCCTGGTTTAGTCCTGGTTTAGTCCTGGTTTAGTCCTGGGTTTAGTCCTGGATTAGTCCTGGTTTAGTCCTGGTTTAGTCCCCTGGTCCTTAGTCCTGGTTTAGTCCTGGTTTAGTCCTGGTTTAGTCCTGGATTAGTCCTGGTTCAGTCCTGGTTTAGTCCTGGGTTTAGTCCTGGTTTAGTCCTGGGTCCTGGTTAGTCCTGGTTCAGTCCTGGTTTAGTCCTGGTTTAGTCCTGGTTTAGTCCTGGTTTAGTCCTGTTTAGTCCTTTAGTCCTGGTTTAGGTTTAGTCCTGGAGGTTTAGTCCTGGTTACCTGGTTTAGTCCTGGTTTAGTCCTGGTTTAGTCCTGGTTTAGTCCTGGTTTAGTCCTGGTTTAGTCCTGGATGGTTTAGTCCTGGTTAGTCCTGGTTTAGTCCTGGTTTAGTCCTGGTTTAGTCCTGGTTTAGTCCTGGTTTAGTCCTGGTTTAGTCCTGGTTTAGTCCTGGTTTGGTTAGTCCTGGTTTAGTCCCCTGGTTTAGTCCTGGTTTAGTCCTGGATTAGTCCTGGTTTAGTCCGGTTTAGTCCTGGTTATTAGTCCTGGTTTAGTCCTGGTCCTTTAGTCCTGGTTTAGTCCTGGTTTAGTCCTTTAGTCCTGGTTTAGTCCTGGTTCAGTCCTGGTTTAGTCCTGTTTAGTCCTGGA